ATCCTTGGGATTTAATAGATTACAAGATGGCTATAAAGAATCTTGGACCAAAATTGTCTACTAAGCTCAAATAGGAAGATCTTGATGAACCTAAAAAAGAATTAAATTCATAATCGGACTCTAAGAGAGGGAATATGATTATGTTTTTGCAATATTAGGGTTCTGATTTGGATTACCTCAATGTTTCTTACTGAAATATTTTTGAGTTTTTTCTGAGTTAAGTGCTAGATCTAAACAAAGTATGCTGCTATTTTTTGAGTTCAATACAAGAAATGTTCAAATTGTGTTGCATTTTTGGAAAATACTAATCCCCATATAATTAGTTGTTTTGTGAAATTTTAGCATGGATTCTACTACATACACATGTTGATACAAATTCCAGGGGTATCTGTGACATCCCCATTTTCACGGCCAGAAAAGACTGATTTTGTTTATGCTTTATAAAAATCAGAGTACCTCTTTTAATAAAAATGTTGCGGAATTTGTTCTCAGTAAAACATGATAAATACGTTATCAAAGCATTTATGAAGAAAAGTATTTTTATTCATTTTAAAACATTTGGGATGTCATCGTCAATATAGAAACATAAGCATAAATAGAACTTACATTCAGTATCACTAGTGATCTACATCTCGTTAATCTCTCAGTGTAATGTAACTTCATATCAACACCTGTGATATAAATAAACTGAGTGGGTCAGGTTGGGAAACCTGGTGAGTACATAGGGTTTTAACCGCACAATAATATAATTATTATGTTTAAACATCAAACAATCAACCCAATTACCCATCCCCATTATCTTCTTTACTCTTAAGGATCTACCCTAAGATTCATCTATCCTGCATTTGTTCACTTCAAAGTCCCTTGTTTCCAAGGTTTATAGACAGGCACTAATTCCATAGCTGCCAATGCACTAAATCCATAGTTGTTAAAGTTCATTCATCAGGTACTAAATCCATAGCTACCAGTGTAGGTACTAAGTCCATAGCTACCAATGTTTATCTAACAGGCACTAAGTCCATAGCTACCAGGTACTAAGTCCATAGCTACCAACACCTAACCGGTACTAAGTCCATGGCTACCAGTGTTTGTCCAATAGGCACTAAGTCCATAGTTGTCGATGTTATTTATTAGGCACTAAGTCTATAACTGCCAATGTTTACTCACATCATCTTTTATCTCTCATTATTCATCTACCCATTTCATACGTGACATATTTGTAGATATAAAATACATATACAGTTTAAATCATTTTAGAACATGTATAAAATCATTCATCCAGCATAGACAACAAGTATTCAGATAATATGTACACATAGCACATAATTTATATAAAGTACTTCATATTTATGTGTAAGATGAAAGTAACTATGCACTCTCCTGAGAAGGTGGTGACTCGGCACTCGAACAGCACTTCGTTACTCTTAACACAATTTTCCTCAGACAAAACCTAGTATCATTACCACTAGAGTTTAGTTTAATATTCACCGAGGCTAATTAATAGTATAGCTATATTACTATTATATAAGCATTAAACGATACTTATATAACCCATAATAATAGCCCAAGTACTTATCATAAGGTCCTAATAATATTATTATATTGAAACATAAGCTATACTAAAGATAGGGTAGGCGTAGCTCACTTACAATAGGTTTCCTAGAAAACCGAGCTTCGCTGGAGTAGCGTTCCTGAGCCGAAAGGCTCTTTTGTCGGGACTCCGGGAGCCTCGAGGCTTCCTTCGGGTACTAGGGAGGTTCCCTAGGCTTTTTGGGGGGTTTGGGGCTTAGAGAGAGAAACTAGAGAGAGAAAGAAGGGTTTGAAGATGTGAGGAAGTTGGGATGCCCGACACCTCTATTTATAGTGAAAATATCTGATGGAATCGCCGAGTCTTGACTCAAACTGGCCATGTTGGTGCATGTGGCAACCTTCTGGTGGTGCCACGTCACCCAATATCGCGTATCAGCCTTCAAACTTATAAAAACCACAACTCTCGCATACGAGCTCTGTTTTCGATGTTCTTTTTTTCCACACGTAGGTAAAATCAAGATCTACAACTTTCATTTAGACTCCGTCGGCTAATTCTCGACCAATCTCAAATTTAACAGTAGGAGGCGTTTAGACTGTTAAATGACCGCGAAGAATTCGTAACTCCTTCATACGGACTCCGTTTCCGTCTAGCTTTTTACCTTTGAGTTCCTATTAATGATATCTTCAACCCTCATTTTGGTCGCGTAAGCCAAAAACCGCTCGAACTAAAATTCGAGTTTCGGGTCGTGCACTGCTAAGCCGAATCTTAGAAAAATCATAACTTCCTCATACGAAATCAGATTTGGCTGTTCTTTTTATGGATGTTCTCGGTTTAACATATACTACAGCTTTGGTTTAGATAACTAAGGCTAAAAAGTCCTCTATCGTAAATTCACTATCTACGTCTCATGGTGCCGTGCCGGTTTTGCCGTAAAACTTCGGCGGGCCATGATAAGTCTATTTTATGAATGTATTAAATTGTCACAAATCTGTTGAATTTATGTATAATTATCCAAGAATGACACTACTTTTATGAGTTGTTGGAATTCATATGTAGGTCAATATATTATACTAAAAGTGTGCGGAACCCGCAAGAAAAACAAGCAAACTAAAGTTAACAAGCGTGGGAGACGAATTGCTAAAGGAATGAAGAAAAATGGTGCTAAGAAATTTAACCACTCTTCAATGTTTTGATCATATCTCAAGATCTGGAGCTCCAATTGATATGAATGAAGAACTTCTGGAAACTAGACAAAATTTCCTACAACTTTCATGTTTTGCGTTTTTACTGATTCTACGTTTTTCATTACCAAAAAGGAGCGACAAAGATAAGGGACGTCCTAGAACGCGTCTAAGACACCCCCTAGGACGCTTACCCATTTTAGGCTATTTTCAAGTGCAAATCAAGGACTTCAGAATGCATGTAAAACACCCCGAAGGATGCCTGGACGTCCTATGTGATGTCTAAGACGCCTACTAGGATGCCGACGCGGAAAACAGCTCCAAAAATCAGTTTTTCAACACCTATTTAAAGGAAATTTAACCCTAATCGACTTTGGACTCCTCCCCTGCTATTTTCACCGGTTTTGGAGGGTTCCAAACACTTCCAAACATTCTCCAAATGCATTTTTGATCATCAATTTCCGAATCCGATGCTACAAATCACCAAGTTCATCATCATTCAACAATTGAACTCGTTCAACCGGTGGATCTTCATCAAACTCCAGATTTGGTTACTTCTTCTCCAATATTTCATCGTTTAATGATTGATTGATCATTAGATTTTATTAGTTTTATGATTTCAAGTTGGTTTATGAATTTTATTATGAATTACATTGTTTTTATTCAAGTTTTGTGTTTTGTGAATTCTATGGAAGGCTATCTAACTAGGTTACTTTCGGGGATGTTTAGGATGATTTAATGAATGTGTTTTGATTATTACTTCTATTCCAATCAACTTTGGTTATTATATGTTCTTAAATTTATGATTTCTATTAATGATAATTGAAGTTCAGTGTTATTCATGTGTTTGATTTTACAATTAAGATAGTTTATTGTCAAATCACTAATCGTGCCGAATTCATATAGTTTAGGAACTAAGACGATCGGTTAAATCAACATATACTATTCCAAACTTGTGATTTTAAATGCTAAACATTATAATTGGTAATCATAAGACACAATATTGTCAAGCCAGTCATTGTTACTAATCCATTTAGACATAGGGAGTAAGACAATTAGTAGGAATAACATATTGTGTGCCCAAAGTTATTTATTGCATGTTAATTGACCTTAATTATGTCTAGGTAATTAAATTGGAATTTAAGGGAAGATAAACACGTGAGTCTTAATCATCCGATATTGAACCTGAAGTATCCTTGTTTTTCTCATTGGTAATCGTTTGCAATATAAAGTTTCTAGTTTTTTATTTAAATCTTAATTTAAATATTTTTCGTGACAACTGCATATATTAGTTCTTTTTCATTGATTACCATAGCACAAAGTTTGACCACAAACTTCTCGTGGATTCGACCCTTACTTACCCTAGCTATCTAGTGGTTTTGAGGTTATTTTTGATTGAGACAACGACCTCGATCAAAATTTGGTGCCGTCGCCGGGGAGATGGTGCGCTTAAACTATTGTGTTGAAGTAGTCGTTAAGTCTTATTTTATTTTGTTTTATTTTTAGTTTAGAATCTTCACTATTTTACTGTTTTTGTGTAGGTACACCGGTGTTTGCAAACAAAGCACAACATATATATTCTTGGTGATACTCGATCGTGAATGGAGGAATATAATTACATCAATCAAGACATGTGGTGGGAAAACGAAAATCTAGGCCAATATCATTACTATAATTATGATCCATATGATGATGATTGTTGGTGGACTGGCGATTCGTCTCAAAACCAACACTATGAATCACCTTGTTTCCCGGAAGACCAAGAATCAAATGAATCTTCATTCAACAAAAAGTTGGATCAAATGATAAAGATATTGAATGAAACCTTCAACAAAGAAGAAGACAACTCCAAATCAATTTCGGTGATTGAAGATCAACTAGAATGAATAACGAAGGAGTTAAAGCAACAACCATCGGGAAAACCTGCGGACACTACCCAAGTAAATGAGGTTAGTTTTATATGCAATGATAACATTGTGCATAATCCTACACCACCTGAACTTGAGATTGTGGTGGAGGATCATACACCTTTAATGGATAATGATACCTAAAGGATGTTTGAAATCAAAGAAGTTGTAATTGAATTGGAAAAGTATAATAAAGTGTTTCATGATTTAGAAGTGTCCAAAGTTGGATAGGGGTTTGTGGAGGTTAATACCACCCACTACCCAACAACTTTTAACAAAACCGACCCACAAATTCTTTTGATGGATTCTAAAATATTGGCGAAATACAAACAACCAAGTATAATCATTGATCATCCTTTTTTGAAAACTATATATGCTCATATGAGTTGTCATGAAGGTGCGATAAATGTGACCTTTGTAAGCCATAAATTGAGACTCATATTATTTGGACCTACTAATGATGCTCCAATTAGTGGTGAAATGTTTGCAATCAATACTATTGATGATTATGTTTATGAGCATACCGCAAATATGCTCTATGGCACCACCCACAATTTGGAGAAAATTATATCATGTAACAGGTCAAAAGCATCAGATGATTGCATGAGTCAACACAAGAAAAGAAGACTAGGGAATACGAAGCATGATTATACACACTCTCAAAAATCAAAAATGAAAGTGTTACATGATATCAAGCATCAATTAAAGAAGTTTACTAGATGGAAAGATGCATGGCTCTTCAAAACAAGGTTTAAGCATCATCGTGGAAGGATTAAACACAAAATAGTTGATTTACACAAGGACAAAAAAGGCATGCCAAATGATCCGGTTCCTCAAAGTAAGGTGAGCGACCTCATTGTTGGCTTTCAAGGAAGTCAACTAACATATGATCCTCCATAGACATTGGTTGAGGTAACATGTCCCGCTAATGACGTTAAACTTGGCAATTTTGGAACTTTGTGGGTGTGTTCACTGCAAACCCTCACGAGACTTCACTCGTCCACTAGGGGTAACCTAGGGGTTTAAAAGGCTTGTTGCACGTGCCAAGTGCAATCGTGGACCCCGACGAAATTGAGGGCTAGTTACTGTAATTTATTTTTATTTGATTTGATTTGTGTGCTTGTAGTTTTTTATTATTATTATTATTTTAGGAATTTGTCTTTGGATGTATCGAGGACGATGCAATACTCAAAGTTAGGGAGGGGTGTACACAATAAGAAAAATGAAGATTGAAGAAAAAGTGACAATTTTTTTTAAAAAAAAAAAATCATAATTTTTTTCGATTTTCGTTCGGGCATAATGGAACATTATGAAAATGCCTCAAGTTAGTGAAGCTTTTCAAGAAACCAAAACCTATTCTACCACCGGTACCATCAGGTGTGTCGTCCTCCTCATTTGTATTATTTATATTAGTTTTGATGATTTTCATTAGGTAATCATTTTGGGATCAATGAATGTTATCTTAATTTTTTTATTATCTTATTTTCTCGAGTTGGTCACCATGAAATATGTGATGAGTTAGTAGCTTCTTTATATCTTGAATGTAACTCATCAAGATGGAAAATGATAAGAGCTTCGTACATCGAGTCATAATATCTATTTAATATTGATTTTGTGGGTTACTCAGCCGGTTTGGGAATACTTATATTTGTTTAAAAATTGTTATGTGAAATACCCAAGTGTTTGAAAAATGAAGGTTTTTGGCTCGAGCCTACGATCTTTCAATTGAGGACCCAACCGAACAATATGTGTCATCACGCTCTGAGTACCTGGTCTTACTTACTCCTGCGCCTTTGGGGTTGGGAGGGGACTATTATTGTTTTCACTCAACCAAAAAGCATCAAAAGATATTGAAGAACTTCAAAGTAAATATAATCAAGCTCAAGTCAAATACAAAGATGATCAAATCCGATGAAGTCATTAAAGAACTTGAAGAATGCTCAATCAATACAAATATGAAGAAAAGTTCAAGTTGAAGACATTGTGTGAAACAATATGTGACCCCTCGATAGCGGGAGTGTTTGGGTTGGTCCATTAAGTGTTACCGACCACGCTAACTATGTTAGTGAACCTTGAAAAGGGGACTTTGGCAATGAGTTCAACTGATTACTCATGAGGTTGATTATTGGAAAGGGTTCAAAAAGTGAAGAGTTTCAAACAACAAAGTAAAATAAGCATAACATGTGTTTTGAGTTTAAAAGTCTGGAAAGGAAAATAATAATCCCAAAATCAATATACTGTGTTATTGGAAATGTTGTGATAAAAAGTACGAAATCCGTGATTCTATTGAGTTTTTCTTAGGATAAGAGAGTAAGACTACACTGATTATTTCAGGCCAATCTCGGGACAAGTTTGGAATAAAGTTGGGGAGGTTTGATAAGTCTATTTTATGAATGTACTAAATTGTCACAAATCTGTTGAATTGATGTATAATTGTCCAAGAATGACACTACTTTTATGAGTTGTTGGAATTCATATGTAGGTCAATATATTGTACTAAAAGTGTGTGGAACCCGCAAGAAAAACGAGCAAACTGAAGTTAACAAGAGTGGGAGACGAATTGCTAAAGGAATGAAGAAAAATGGTGCTGAGAAATTTGACCACTCTTCAATGTTTTGATCATATCTCAAGATCTGGAGATCCAATTGACATGAACGAAGAATTTCTGGAAACTAGACAAAATTTCCTACAACTTTCATGTTTTGAGTTTTTACTAATTCTACGGTTTTCATCACCAAAAATGAGCGACAAAGATGAGGGACGTCCTAGAACGCGTAAAAGACGCCCCCTAGGACGCCTACCCGTTTTAGGCCATTTTCAACTGCAAATCAAGGAGGGCAGAAGGCATGTAAAACGCCCCACAGGACGCCTGGACATCTTATATGACGTCCAAGACGCCTACTAGGACGCCGATGCGGAAAACAGCTCCAAAAATCAGTTTTTCAACACCTATTTAAAGGAAATTTAACCCTAATCGACTTTGGACTCCTCCCCTACGATTTTCACCAGTTTTGGAGGATTCCAAACACTTCCAGACATTCTCCAAATGCGTTTTTGATCATCAATTTCCGAATCCGAGGCTACAAATCACCAAGTTCATCATCATTTAACAATTGAACTCGTTCAACCGGTAGATCTTCATCAAACTCCAGATTTGGTTACTTCTTCTCCAAGATTTCATCGTTTAATGATTGATTGATCATTAGATTTTATTAGTTTTATGATTTCAAGTTGGTTTATGAATTTTATTATGAATTACATTGTTTTTATTCAAGTTTTGTGTTTTGTGAATTCTATGGAAGGCTATCTAACTAGGTTGCTTTCGGGGATGTTTAGGATGATTTAATGAATGTGTTTTGATTATTACTTCTATTCCAATCAACTTTGGTTATTATATGTTCTTAAATTTATGATTTCTATTAATGATAATTGAAGTTGAGTGTTATTCATGTGTTTGATTTTACAATTAAGATAGTTTATTGTCAAATCACTAATCGTGCCGAATTCATATAGTTTAGGAACTAAGACGATCGGTTAAATCAACATATACTATTCCAAACTTGTGATTTTAAATGCTAAACATTATAATTGGTAATCATAAGACACAATATTGTCAAGCCACTCATTGTTACTAATCCATTTAGACATAGGGAGTAAGACAATTAGTAGGAATAACATATTGTGTGCCCAAAGTTATTTATTGCATGTTAATTGACCTTAATTATGTCTAGGTAATTAAATTGGAATTTAAGGGAAGATAAACACGTGAGTCTTAATCATCCGACTTTGAACCTGAAGTATCCTTGTTTTTCTCATTGGTAATCGTTTGCAATATAAAGTTTCTAGTTTTTTATTTAAATCTTAATTTAAATATTTTTCGTGACAACTGCAAATATTAGTTCTTTTTCATTGATTACCATAGCACAAAGTTTGACCACAAACTTCTCGTGGATTCGACCCTTACTTACCCTAGCTATCTAGTGGTTTTGAGGTTATTTTTGATTGAGACAACGACCTCAATCATGCCAGAACTTCTTCGTTATAACTCGGATTTCGACGTTCTTTATATGTACGGAACCCTTGAGACATACTGTACAACATGGTTAAGATTATTTATTGTAAATAATCTTTTATCAAAAAGTCGTTTTCGACCCTATTATCTCTAAATTGACTAGCCCGGATCTACGAGCGTTACAGTATCCAAATGAAAGTAATCAACAATTAATGTTTATCTTGATTCCTAAATCTGGTTATGTGTATTGTATGTTTCTATATTCCACATAAAATTAATTCCCTGCTACTTCAAGTAGAATGTCAGAACAAATTTTTACTTTAGCATTTTGTGGAACTTATTGGTTTGCAGAAGGGACGACAAGTTTTTAACTTTTATGATTTTGTTGAACTTAATGGTTTTTCATATATTGTGATGTTTATATAGAACTTATTGGAAATATGGAATAGTATTTATAACAACCTACTACTTGAAGTGATCTACAAAAATATAGCAATTTATTTATTTATCTATAACTGCAAAGTACTATCATTTTTCTAACATAAAATGGAAACATATTTATAATTTTTTAAACCCCAAAGCAAAGTACTTATATAACCTATATCAGTTTGTTATAATCTATATAACCCCAAAGCAAATTACTTATATCAGTTTGTTATAATCTATATAACCTATATCAGTTTGTTATAATCTATATAACCCCAAAGCAAATTACTTGTTATAATCTATATAACCTACTTCATATAACAAGTAAACTTTTAGTTATGTATACTTTTTTAATTTGTTCAGATTCAATTATTAGATTCTAAACATACATCGGAGCAAATGTTAAACATAATTATGTACATATATTATAGATAGATTAACGGAAAATCATATTTTTCTATATGTTCTGTTGTTTGAAATATGATATTTTGTGAAAACGAACTATTTTTTGTTGGCTCCTATATAATTATATATGTCCACTGCTTAATGAAAATAATATTTTTTGATGTGTTACATGTAATTTTCGGTATGACATGTTTTCTCAAATAACTATAAAAAAAATTTCTTAAAAAATTAATTTCTAAAAGGAAACATGTTAAATATGACATTATGTTTTAACATTACACAATTGCAAAAATCTAACTAAAGTCAATGCTTCCCTAAGTAATTTGGTTTTACTATATTTGGTTCTTGAATTAGATCCTGGAAAGAATTTACTAATTCGAAAGAAAATGACTTGTCGAACGAAAAACAAATATGGACCAATCATTTAATTGAAATTTCCCTAATTATATAAAAATTAATCAATTAATCAATTTCCCAAAAAAAATAACTTTTAATAAATTATATGATTTAGGTCAATGTTATGAAGTATTGTTGGGTTTTACATCAATTATAGCCTTATATTTTCATTTTTTTCCATACAACGAAATTATGTTGTTTGTTTCTTTTCGTTTAAATCCAAAAAAAAAATTTAAAACTTAAGTGAAAATGAAAATTAACAAATAATTCAATTAAAAAGACAACTTATATGACAAGAAAGATTGTCCAACTAATAAAACAAAAAATGTTGTCTTCAAATAGATTCTTAAACGATTATAGATATGCATGCATTTCATTGTATTTTTAGACATTTCAATATATAATCATTAGTGCGAACTCTCTTTATGTTACTTTATCATTTTTTATTTATTTATTATGTCAACTTTTTATAATTTTATATATAACTTTTTATACGTTCTCCATCATTTTACGCGAATTATAATCTAATTTAGTATTAAGTGTAGATTTATTATCGTTTTGCATTGTTTTTAAAAATTTTAATTTTATAGAAACAGAAAATAAGTGACTCAGCATTTCTAATTTGAAGCATTTTGATGTACATAGAATTGCATCAATTTATTAAACGTTTTGCAAAACAACAATAAGTCGTTTTCTCTAATTTTCAAAATAAATGTCATTATATTTGGTTACCAATATAACTTTACACCTTATAAATATACAACGTTCATATCAATTTAATACACAACATTGAATGTCTACAGTCTATACCATGTCACTCTCAATTTAATAGAAATAGTCTTTAATACACACATGGTATATAAGGCAAAGGCCATGCTCAACACGCTTAATATTATCATGTATTATGTAAAAATATAAAGTTTAGATAAAGTCGTCAACTTGTCATTGTTGTTAACCTTTAAATAAAAAAAATTAAAAAAAAAAATGTGTTGTATTATGGTATTTGTTTTTACTATTTTTGTTTGTTGGAAGATTAGTAACATAACAAAGTAATTGAAGAAGATTCTTTGTTTCAGCACAATTAAGCAAGGGTAAAATAGTAATTTCACTCATATAAATAATTTCGAGATATATATGAAAATAGTCAAACATAAGTTAAGTTTCTCAATCCATAAATCCAAAAGGACTTTTCAAGATGCTGAAGAAGGTGTTTATCGTCTCAATTCACGCTGGAAAAAAAAAAAAAAAAAAGAGAATTAATTAGTTGAATAATTTAGAATTTACAAATATATAATTATTGATGATATTATTTAAAAATAAAAAAGTTACCCTTGGTCCACGATCAGCTGGTTGGGGTCGTCTGTGTTCGGGTCTATCTGATGATTCTTGGATCAAGTCCGGATTCCCAAGTTTGTAAAATGTCTCAAGCCCTCCAGTTACAAATGGTCTTATTACATTTACTTCCATTGCAGATAAATTCAACTACAAAATAATAATAATAATACCAAAAATTACAAATCATATATTAATTATATTATATGCAATTATGCATATTCAAATCTATAAAGCGTACCTTCATAGCATATGTTCGAGATGAGAGCTTCTCTAAACCAGTGCCTATTTTGTGAAACCTTACATCTTTTATGTCTTCAATTAGAGATCTTACCTGTCATCACATGTATGTTTAATAAAATAAATATAATATGAGAGATTTTTGAAGTTTTGATTTGAAATATTCTAATGTGTAGATGTGTAGATTGACTGACCATATATACATCAGGAATGTCATCACGTGCACTGCAACATAAACAAAAAAACAAAAAAAAAAAAAAAAAAAAAAAAGATTTTTTTTATCAGAAAGATTTTGAAGTTGATAGATATGTGATTGTGAGGCGAGTTGACTCACTCATCAAAAAGAAGCCTTGAGATCTCAACATAATGAAATGGGAGTGCTTCAAAAGAACTTGCTGAGTCACGCTCTGCTTCCAATACTTGAGTCAACTTTTCTAGTTGGGAAGAAAGAATCATTGGTTAGTAATTAGGAAAATAGATATATGGTTATCAAGGAAAAAGAAAAAAACCAACATAAACAAAGATTGACATTGTAAGACTGAAAAAGCATAATTATTTTAGAATTCTAGCACTTAATCACAGTAAAGGTGCTGAAAGCACACTTAGCTTAGATGTGAACAACATTCTGGGGTTGACATATGATGATAGAAAGAAAGTTCATTTGAAAGGTAATGAATTGGTGGTTGAAGAGTGCAGATACAATTTGGCGAAAATGAAGTTTAGAACCATTTTGTGTAAATAGTTAACCCTAATTATACATCAGATAATTCAATAGATTGTTATGAATTTATATAACTGTTTAAGTTTCGTAGAGTGAAAACTTACCAACAGACATCCAATCTGGAGGTCGAATTGTGCACTTTCCTCGCTTCTTCAAAGCGACAGCTAACCAAATTGGAACTTGAGTAGCTATTTGGGGCCGAAATGGTCCAAAATCACCCTGCCAATTATATCAAACAATCATTAATGTCAACAATACATTAAAAGTATATGAGTGCTCAATGTGCAACAACAAATTTTACTAGATAATATCATATGAGTATGAACAAGGGAAAGAAGAATACGCAGATCAAACTGAGGCGCTCCATTCTTAAGTTCGGAACAATCTCTATTGTTTCATCCTCCGCTAAAAACTCCAACTGAAAGATTCGATCCAAAACTTGTAAGTCGCTACAGATCAATGAAATTGACTAATAATCAACACTGTTTATAATGATATCAGTTACCTCAGCGGCTGAAAATGTTGAACCTCGAGGGTCGGATTGGCCGGACATGTCTTCCAGATAAACTTCAACAGATCTAGGGTTGTTTGCGGTGTAGATCCAGTGGATTTGCAAGACTCCGATGGGAACGATGAGATGTGGCAAAGGATTCGTGTGAATTTGGGCGCAGTGGCGGGAAAATTGGATTGAGTGGGAGTTTCAAGTCTGGTCTGTGTTCACACGAAAACTGAAGCTACAGCACAAAGGTCCATCTGGGGACAACCGACAACATATCGACTTTTCGAGACTAGAAAATAAGAACTCGGTTCTGGGCCGGAATACGTTGGGCCACGGCCCACTATAACAAAACGATAAATTTTCATCGAGTTAAGGATTCACAAACTACAAATCAATTTTCTCTAGGTGAAAACATGTTTTGTTAGGTCTTTGAATAACTGTATTCGATGACCTTATAAATTATTTGTGTTGTTTGGTTTGATTAGGTTGTTTTATGATTGTAAAAAACACACAATATTTTTCCATCTTACAATGCAACCCAACTAACCCATCCTGTTAACTCGTAACCCCATTAATTCAAACTCGACTAACATGTATCTTAATAGGGTTGGGGTTCAAATGAACTTTTTATTTTCAAAAAGTTCGACTAACTAATGATATCGGAATAACCTGATTAACAATCCTAATAAAGTTATACATATGGTTAATGACTTGTGAAGGTAATAAACGTATCACTTGTATATATTTAATCACTTATGTTATACACATATGTCAATTAAACTTGTTTATGTTAACATAATTTCATTATGACCGATTGTTGTATATTTGTCTATTTCTAATGCACTTAGCAGCTCCCACAAGACTCCAGTTATCTGATGGGTCTCCGGCCAAAATGATTTTTTCTAACAAGTTTTTGGCACATGAATAGTAAGATACAAATAAAATAATAATAATAATAAAACTCAAATGACTAAATATGTATAGGGAACTTATAAGCGAAGATCTCTAACAAAAACTATAAAACATTTTGCCTTTATCTTGAACTTTTTATAATTTCTAACAAAAATTATAAAACTTCTTGCCATTCTATTGATCTTGAACTTTTTATAATTTTACATGTTCAAAAAAAATATTTAATATCAAATAAAACAGGAGTTCACTCTAAAATCACTGAGAAGAGACAGACGTATCGAGACGTCGAGGCGCCCACGAGAAAATTCATCATCTCCGAAGTAATCAAGTAAATCGAACCCGAGGCTGCCAAGCGTGGTTGTTTTCATTTGACTAAAGCCTGAGAGGGGATCAGAGAAAAGCTGTAAAAGATGAAGAAGAACAAAAATTTCCGAAAACGAAGTATAGCAGACGAAGAAGATGAACAAACAGGAGTTACAGAAGACGGCAATGAGATGCGGTGCGTTGTGTTCTTCACTCTTTCTCTTTACGAGCTGGGTTTCTTCTCCAATTTCAGTTTTACTTTTGGGTTTTAGTGATTCAGGTGTTCTGCTAGGGTTTCTATATTTTCTTGGTATAAATTGAAGCTAATGATTCAAATCAACAAAGCTTATGAGTTCAATGTTCTAATTCATGGCTAACCTGTGGTCTAACAACGATTGATGAACACAGATTAGCTTTAGAAGAGATCAAATTTCTTCAAAAACTGAGGGAGAGGAAGTCAGGAGTCCCAGCGATTGTTAAAACAGGGCAAGCTGCTGCAGCTAGCGGCGTCAACAATGCTGGTGGGTTGGTTCCCAAAAGTGGTGATAAGGGTGAAGCGGATGGAGAAAAAGACGATTTAGTTTTACAGGATACGTTTGCTCAAGAAACTGCTGTAATGGATGAAGATCCACATATGTATGTACCCTTATCATCTCTCTTTATCAGCATTTTAACAGATTTATGTTGGTTTTCAACCTTTTTCAATTTGCATACAAGAGGCATTATGAACTATGAAGTAATCAATTAGATTGATACTGTCACTTGGGGTGGGTTTTACATATAAAAGAGTGTTGTTGTTAAGATTAATGATTGCAAGAATCTAGAGTACATCTTTGTTACTCTTCAATCTCCATAAATTGGGCATAATTGGGCTACATTTGATTTGTGTTATTTGAGCTAAAATTAGTAAAACTTGTGATATTATACTCTTACTTATGTTAATTACACAGGTTAAAATATGTTGAGCAAGAGTTGGCTAAGAAAAAAGGGAAAAACATAGATGAGGCAGATCAAGTTGAGAATGATATAAAACGAGCAGAGGATGAATTATACAAAATTCCAGAGCATCTTAAGGTAATTAGAATTTGGTATTATGGTAATTTGTTATAATTAAATTACTTAATTACTTCTGTTAACAATCTTATCCCCCATGTGTTGACTTAGGTCAAACGAAGGAACTCAGAGGAAAGCTCTACTCAGTGGACCACTGGAATTGCTGAAATCCAGCTTCCCATCGAGTATGCCTCATCATCATCTTATTCTTTCTGTGTGTGTGTGTGTGTGTGTGTTTTATAAATATAGAGAAGTGTTAAAATATATATATATATATATATATGTTTGTTATGGGGTTGAAATAAAAACAATGTTTGCAGATTTAAGCTGAAAAATATAGAGGAAACAGAAGCTGCGAAAAAGCTTTTGCAGGAGAAGAGGCTAATGGGCCGGGCTAAAACGGACTCCACCATACCTTCAAGCTATAGTGCTGATTATTTCCAACGTGGCAAAGACTATGCTGAAAAACTTAGAAGAGGTATGTAATCTAATAAATAACTGTATTTGATTTACATCTGACATGTTGACTGACAGTGTGTATCTGATTTACATCTGACATAATCTGACATGTTGACTGACAGTGTGGGTCAGCTCAAGGGTTGTTGAAAGAATATGAATTTTTATATGTTTTAATTTGTGTTAATTGAATTGATGGATGATTTGCAGACCATCCTGAGCTTTATAAGGACAAAGGAGGAGCAAATAACAATGGGGAGGCTAGAGCCGGTGATTCTGCCGCCACGGTAGATGGAGGAGCAGGTGGAGGAGGTGGTGGTGGTGGTGGTGGAAGACAGGCGGCAACGGATGAATTTATGCTTGAGAGGTTTAGAAAAAGAGAACGCCACCGTGGGACCAGGAGATGATTAATGGATGACAAAAAAAACAAGTTTTTGGTGTCTTGTACTTTTTAAATCCTTGATACACGTCTCCTGTCGTATTTGTACCTTTTATGATATTAGAAAAAATTTCGCTTTAATTAATTTATTTATGTGGCTATTATTCATTCACATCCATCTCTCCGTTTTTGAATGGAAAATGAAAATGAGTCATTTGTTTTGTCTAAAACGAAATTTGAATTATGTTTATACTAGTTGAAATAAGAATCCATTGAATTCATAAACAACATGTTAAGTACCCTTTTGCAATATATCTAACAACACAACTAACCACAAAACAATGAAAGCTAAAAAGAGTTCAAATAAAGAAATTACACATGTTCAGTACCCTTTTATGTTTGATCTTTATTTTCATTTCTTAAAAAGAAAAAACCAAACCATGATCAAAACTCAAAAAAAAAAAATAATAATAATCTCCTAAAACATAACAAGCAATCAAAATTCAAAGCTACTTCCTCCTCTTAAGTGGGCCGGTTTTAAACCCACTCTTAGTGGGTTTCCCCCACGGGGTCTTGGAAACACCGCCTCTACAACCGCTACTCTTGCTCTTCCCTTCACCACCACCATGCGGATGGTCCACGGGATTCATAGCAACACCTCGAACCACCGGCCGCCGCCCAAGCCAGCGGCTCTGCCCCGCCTTCCTGAGCTTCTTGGTTGCATGTTCGGGGTTGGACACCACCCCGATTGTGGCCCTACACCGGGAATCAATCAACTTTTCAACACCAGATGGGAGTCTGATTAAACAAAGCTTAGTGGCAGATGGTTCTTTCAAGATCTTTGCTGATGTGCCTGCAGCACGGACTAACTTTCCTCCTTGACCCGGGTTCATTTCAATGTTGTGGATTATGGTTCCGATCCGCATCATGGATATGGGCATACAGCTTCCAATTTGGGAACTTATGTCCAAGGAGAACATTGGGTTGTTATTCATCATTTTGTCATGGGAATGTGTTCCTTGTGCTAAAGAAATAAAAATACAAAAAAAGAGTCAAATAGGTTGTTTTTTAAGCGTGGGTCGGGTCGGGTTTTTTTTTTTTTTTTTGTCTATTTGACCCATTATAAACATACTTGAAGAAGAGCTAAAAGCGCGATGGATTGGATTTTGGAAGGCCAACTTCCCAAACAAATTTGAAGAAACAACACGGGCTCTCGATAACATTGCCATTTTAGTTGACACCTGTGCGTAAAAACAGACGGACACCTATAAGTATAAATAAAAAAAATTCCACCAAAATCACATTTTTTGCTAACTTTTTATAATAAGATCATTTATTTACTGTCATCAATATACAAAGACATGATAACAAAGCGTACAATAACTATAAGCCAGTTGATTGTTTATGGCTATTGTATCTTGTAGTATTGGTTTTGTTAGTAATTAGGTATCACTTTCATTTTGCTTTATCTAAACATAAAGAAATTATGAAAATGAGTAAGAATATGGAATACAAATGTCAATCAAACATATTCATTAAGATCTGACCTTAACTTAACCATATTCTCCTAATTTCAAACATTGATTAAAAAGGCATGCTTAGAAAACTAACAATTTGACGTGTATGACCAAATCAAGGTTTTGTGTAGAAGAGATTACCTTGTTAATCTGGACACCTCCTTGTTAATCGGTTGATATTAATGGTCTCAAACTCTCAATAAGGAACCTGCAAAAAATATTATAAGATTGTTTGATACGTGAAAGAAGTGGTTGAAAATAGGGTTTACCAGAATTTGAAAGGAGACTAAAAAAACTAAATCTTGAATGTGGATACACTGGTGATACATATATAGGGAATCTATGATTTACTTTTGAAAACCCCCTGTAGTGGGATACACTACCCTGAAGCCCAGCTCAACTAGACACCTACTACACAATACACAATCAAAAACATACAGTCATGGAATGCCTAGTGTGGCTCCGATTAAGGCTGAAGTCAGGGTTGATTGGCTTTAGTCTAAGTCTCTAAGTCTGAACAGTAGACAATCAAAGACATACACAATCAAATGAAATCACAACTGTGACTCCGATTAAGTTTCAGTCACGGAAAAACAAATAGCAATCAAGCTGATTATGGCTTCGATTTGGCGATTATGTCATGGAATGCCGAATGTGGGACTCGAATTCTCGATCCTGGAAGTAACCCCAAGACGAAAAACTGAAAAACTACGAGTAATAATAAACCTGAGATGGTGGGTGTCTGGGTGGCGCCGGTGATGGTGTTCGGTGGGGCGTCGGCTGTCGCTGACTCGATGTCGCTATCGGAGTCGCTGTCGTGGATATCGTTTAGCGAGTTAGCGGATTGCGGAGGGCGGAGGGCGGAGCAGAAAATAGAGATTGCGTCTCTACCGACTATCGGCAGTATACCCTAAGGTGAGTTCGGTCATTCTCAATTTCTTGAGAAAACTGCAAAATAAGTCCTTGTGGTTTGTAGTTTTTTATGGCATAGGTCTAAAAAAAGAATGCTTTTGCAAAAATGATATTTATTTGAGGTTTTATAATGGATTTGACCTTTAGTTCTAACAATTGTTAACCAACCTCCGTTTTCTCACCAACATGCCACACACTAGTAGGCTTACACATAAAACTGGTACAGGATCCGAACCGGTAAACCGGTTCATCATGAACCGGTCCACTAAGAACCGAACCGATTTAAGAAATGAACTGCCGGTTTGTATCCGTTCGAGATTTTAGACATTGAAATCGGTTTAGAACCGATAGTCAAACCGATCAAACCGGTTTAGAACCGATGTAACCGATTTAGATAGGTTCGAGTTTTTTCTATGACGGAACTGGTTTAAGGTTGAACCGATTTTACTATTCACGAATCGGAACCGAACCGATTTTGTGAACCGGTTCGGTTTGAAAAAAAAAACGGTTTGCTCACCTCTACAGTAGAGACACAAGTGTCTTTTTAAAAGTCTATTGAGAAAAATTACAATATAATCTTTTTATGAACAAGAACCATATTGTAATCTTTTTAAGATCATGAACAAAAATTACAGCACATTGTTATTTTAAGTTTAATAATTTTATATCAATATGTATATTATTTTTATGTGGTGTTGGTCAGCTCCACCTTTCTTATACGATTTATTTCTAGTTGAGTAAATAATCTGTCATTAATATAGTTCGTACTTCATCATTTGTGTCCCCTTTGAGTTTGTTTTAGTAACTCAAATAATTATCAAGAATATGACTTCATATTTGATTGAGATTTGTTTTAGTAACTCAAATAATTATCAAGAAAATGACTTAGGATATTTGATATAATTATCAAGAAAATGACTTAGGATATTTGATTGAGATTGATGGACATAAAAAAATTCATAAGATCTAATAATATTTGTCTTTTTTTAACAGTTAGATGTTAAAAAATTAAAAAATAAAAAAAATTACACTAGCAAATAGCTAGAAGAAAAAACAATTACAAAGAATCATTCATTAGGGAATTTTTCACCCATTGGAACCAAGAAATTTTACATCTACTACTCCTATCAAAAAACTAGCATGAATGATAATACTTTAAAAAAATATGACTCTTGAGTATCTTGAACGTTTGAAACACAACATTGGTGTGATATTGTCGTAGCACCTATATAGCTGTGAAACAAATAACCCCTACCACTTTCTTCTTTTTCTTCTTTATTCTCAACGACTTGATCCAAACAAACAACTCCAACACATCATTAAACAACGGAAACGAAAGATCCAACCACTTAAGAACTTTACCCTAAAATATGAGTAGCTACTTCACACTTCAGAAACACTAGTACATAGGACATAACATAGATACCAATACCTTTTATCACCAAATTTTCTCTAGTCGGAATCCTATCACAAAGGACTCACTAAAGAAGCATTAAGCTTTATAGGAACCGATCTACATCATCTAGTTTGGACAATATCTTCCAGCAAAATATTACATTCAATATGTTTTTCGGTGTTGCTAACTTCAAAACTCCCATCTGTTCCAATAACACGTTCCCATTTATCTGGACGATTAATAAAATTCACTTGATTCAATAAATCCGTAAGAGTTGCCAATTGAGAAGTTGTACCTTCACTTTCACGAAAAAGACCATGCCAATAAAAAGTCTACCTCCTACCAACCCACTTATCTGCAACACAACAATCCTTATTCAAATCCAAGACATAAATCCTAGGAAACCTAACCCACCAACATATATTCCCTCAACCACATATCATTCCAAAACTTAGTAGAATCTCCATTACCAATATGTTTTTGAAGGAAAGAAAAGGGAATAACTTGCATATCATTCATTTTATGAAATAACTTAACCATAGAAGCCCACACTCCACCACCACCTTTCTGTATAATATATTTTGAGCCCATCCCACCATGCACTCCATGAATACTTTGGATCACTTTCACCCAAGTCGCATCAGGTTCAATAAAAAAACGTCACTTCCATATTATGAGAATAGCAATTCTAAAAGCTTTTAAACTACGAATACCCATCCCTCCTTTATCTTTATCGATTCAATTTCTCCCCAACGGGTAAGTCAAGATAATGAAAAGGAACCGAGGAAACTATACACCCAGGACCCACAATCATAACCTCCACATGAGCATCAATAACACCAATACCATATAAATTAGACTTTTGTAAATTAAGTCTAATCCCCGAGAGCATATAAAATCATTTTAAAATCATAACCAAAATTACAATGCTTTGATGATCCAACTCAAATTTACACTGTTTTGATGATCCAACTCCCCCATAAACAAAACATCATCTGCATAAAACAAATGAGATAGAGAAAAACCATCTTCTCCCACCTTAGCACCACGAAACAAATTAACCCTAGTTAACTGCATCCTTAATCACCAAGTGCCTTCCATAACAATAATCAATAAGAAAGGGGATAACATATCAATTTGTCGAAGGCCTCTACATAAAAAAAATTCCTACATAGGGCTTCCATTAACAAGGATAGAAGCACAAGAAGACATCAAACATGCATTAATCGAGCCAATCCACTACTGATCAAAACCCATAAACTCCATAATCTGCAACAAATAACCCCAACATACCGAGTCGTACGCTTTATCAAAATCAACCTTCATAATCATTACCTTTCTTTTTTTCTTTTTATACCAACTAATAATCTCATTTACCATCAAAGT